TATAGGAAAGATACATACATACGAACTCAAATATATATTATACAAAAATATATATATTTTGTTTAGGTTAGGGTTAGGGTCACAATGCACCATAAAACAGGAGTTTGGGGCACGTAATTTGTATCAACCAATGGCAGCGCTCACTAGAGCCCTATGTTCTTGATTATATTAGAAAAAAAAATTACACGAACGGGCAGCAGTGGTGAGTGTTAGCGGGTAACATCGACTTTTATCTATTGACACCTGATATGCTCATCACGAAATAAGGAGATATTTCTAACAAGCATATGAATAAATATATATATTATTCTTACCCTGTTTGATACCTGAGTATTACATCCGTTGGCTACGAGCAACTGAACAGCAGCCTTGCACCCAAACAAGGCAGCCCATAGAAGGGAGCGCATTCCATACTGAAGAAAAATGTCATACTAAATATGATCACACAAGTAGCCTCTAGTAACTAACTTTTCCTTCACATTAACATATTAAATTGTTAAGTGCGTGCGTGCGTGCGTGCATGCGTGCGTGCGTGCGTGCGTGCATGCGTGCACGACGTGAGCGTTGGCGTGTGACGGTGTGCCAATTGTGTGTCTGTTTCTGTGTCTGTCTGGTAATGGCTAAAACTGGTATAATATCAATTACTATTTCGTTCTTACCCTATCTTGGGCTTCAATATCACTCTTGTGGTGCAACAATACGTCCATAACCTCAATGTTGCCCTGTGCTGACGCTACATGCAGGGCGGTTCGGTCTAACTACAATCAAATAAAAACGTGGTTGACTACTTATTGTGGTTACTTTCGGTTCGTTAGCACCTAATTCGCTTAATCCGCACAAACGAGAGCATTACCGCCAACAAAACTGGTCAAGTAAACCGCTTATAACATGAAAGCTCAACGTGTAAACGAATAATACTGAGCGCCGGCTGGCCACAAGAGCAAACTGGTTGAACGAGAGGATGAAACTGCGTCCGCGTGCGCCGATGAATGTTTTGCAGGATGAAAGGCGACAGACACAACGCGCCATATATGCATATAAAAGGCATAAAATCAACGCCCGCCATGCAGCAACGGTCGTGTAAACCATATATAAGCCAGTATATGTTGGATCAAACCGACCAAAGGGGATGCCGAACGGAAATATATCTTTTAGTTGCTTAATTACTTATTAAACCGACAGTTTCTTTTCCATAATCTCATACTTGCAATCCAAATCCTCAAACAGTAATTCGCAATGATATTTATTGTCAGAAAATGCATCGACTACCAGATTTTGCTATCCGACATTCCTAGAAAAATCGCGCGAAGCTAGTGACCTCGTCGAGTGCAAATATGTCCCTATTTCGTGTCCTGTGTCAAACACACGCTGTTATGCGCGGTTCTAACAGGCAATAACTAACGCGCACAAAACACACATGCTCATTGATCTGCCTGCTCTACTTCCATCGCTACCGACGCCGGCACGTACTGTGTCAATAACGATGACTAATAACTGTCGCAGCTGTCACTGGCAGATAAAAATTCGCTGAATCAAACAGTGTCATAGATGTACAGCAAAAAATATATATAAAGGATATATGACACACGTTATATTTTATAGAAAAACAAAACACTCAAAAACGATATGATACTGCGCGTATCCCCGAGCTTGCTTGTAAGTTAATTGACGACTAGCTACCCCAGAAGTATGGGGTCTCCCCACCCCCCCAATGCAATAAACGTGTATATATGCGACACTGTCAGGCCCGCATGCATGTTTCTATAAACACATTTATTAGAATATCTTGGTTGGCATAGCTGCTCACGTGACCACCCGCGATTTCGTGCAAATTCGACATCACTTTTACGACGCATGCGCATACAAAAATGTATCAACGTACCGGAGTAATCACACGTTGGGAGGCACACAGATCGGCACAAGCTGTGCTATTCTGCATGCATTCACGCATGCATGCACACACACACGCACAAACGCAGGCACGCAGGCACGCAGGCACGCAGGCACACACGCACGCAGGTTTATGCGCGCATACGCACACCCACAAACTGATCTTGAAGACTTACGTTATTCCGACAGTTGATATCCACTTTATCCTCGCAGATGAGACGTTTGGCTGATTCAGGGTCGTTCTGTCTTGCCGCTTCATGTAAACGCACTTCGCCTCTGACCACTTTATGTTCAACAATAATGAGCATTATTAGTATGCATGAGCACATTGCGTCCGCTTACACGTGTTTTTCCGTATTGATTGTTAATGCCTGTTGACTTTCCTTTTTAATTGTAAACGGCAAACTGTAAACCGATTTCTTTCTGATTCAGTCAACTACACACTGCAGTTTCCGTGAAACGCAAGTGGACGCAAGTCAACGCACGAAGTGGATTGAAAGATGTTGAAGTACAAGCGCTAGTAACGCTGAGAGGGTCTATGTCCCCCAGGGTACTGCCGGAACGTACCCTGGTACTATCTAATATGCCGGACCGTACCTCGCCTACTCCACGAACGAGTCTAGGAAGTCGCCTACGCCTACTCCCTAACCCTAACCCTAACCCTAACCATATCAAATAGTTACCAGGGTACGTTCCGGTATACCGGACCGTACCCAGGGTACGTTCCGGCAGTACACTGGGGGACATAGACCCTATCAGCGCCAGTAACAACATCGGGCATTAATAGCAAGGAAAGCACCACGATTTACGTATACGTAATGGTCGGTTGCAGCAAAGCATGCGAATATTGTTGTAGATAGAGCACATAGATGAAGTTTCCAATCTCTAACATCCAGAGCGCTCCAACACAAAATAGCACACAGAACATCAAAGGGATCAAAGAGACTTTAGAAGATAAACAGTGTAATCATTTGTTGCTCGCGAGTGATACTGTTAGTTGAAATACAAAAGCTCGATTCTTTCTTACTGGTAAAGGTGTGGTACCAAATAAACCTAAAACTAGTGACATGTTTCGCCAACCTCGTTTGCATAATGGCAAGCTGAATTACATATGAAATGGACTGCAAAACAGCGTCTTGCGAATGAAGAGGGTTGGACATTGTGTCAAGCGTGATGACTTCAATTTAAACCCAATTTGCAACTAAACTTGCAACTAGCTTTTGGTTAAAACCCTCTAGTAACGCAAGCACCCAGTAGCAAAGTAAATGGGAGGGTAGAACACTGAGTGACATAGGGAGGATAAAAAACGTTTATAACTCTTTATTTGAGCAGATATTATACTTTTTAAACAAATTGTAGACACATTCCACACTCCAGAAAATGTTATTTTAGTGTTGATTTTTTTCTAAACAAATTTCAAATCAGTAAAAACACCGAACGATCTTTTGGATTGCAATTTATTCGAACTAGAATAATATTTTGTATGGTCTACTAATATATTTTCATACAGTAATTGCGTGCGTCTTTTTACCGGCGATCGAGCTTAATTATTTGTAAAAACAAAAAATAATTTTTGTTGCAGATCACGTGAGCACTAATCGTACCAATTATATCCCCAAACTTTTACCGGAAGAAGATCTGTTACGGGTTGATAACGGCCTTAAACGTCTACATGTTTTTTTGGTTTAGCCAGATGCGAACTAATTTTACTGACAGCTAGTCGTTTATTTGCGCGAGCGTATTACATATATTCAGGAGTTGTATTATCTATATTGCATATATATAAGCAAATACGCATCTGAAACTCCGCTGCTACTGCTAATTTCCGGCTCTCGTTTTATTGATATGCGCAGTCTAGGCTGCGCCCAGTAATAAAGGCTCACCATAATTTAGGTTGTTCTGTCACATAGCACACCAATACGTGCGCAATATACGGGTTTATTGTTTCGGACACAATAATTGAGCTTATGCAACATACAGCCTAGCATAATTGAACGCATCAGACGCCACTGAAAAAAACGAAAGCTGAATATTCCTTTAGCGATTTTCTACGAAAATCAATTGAAATTCCATCGCAAGCTCACAATAGAGTAAACCAATTGGCCTGCAAACACTTTTACGCAGTTCTTTCACCAACGTCGAAGAAAGGCGTGATCTGTGATCGCCGAAGCAAATCAACGCTCGTACGTGGTTTGACCTTTGAGAGGATGGCAAGACTATCGCAGCCATTCTAATTGCAAATTCCGCGGCTCTGGACGTGTTCTCAATACAATAACATCATCATCAGGAGTCTATCAATATTGTTAGACTCCTGATATCATCATCTTTCGCGTAAAGCATCAGCTAGCTATATACGACACAATGCGAGGTTGTATAGGAATTTTCCAAAGCAAACATGCATTGATCACATCACTGCTAAGTGTAGCAACATTGTTGCTCCAATATCAGTAGGTGTCATA